CAGCCATGTTGGATGATGTTCACTATAGGTGGTTTGTAATCATTCCTAAGGGAATAAAAGTGACAGCCATGTTGGATGACGTTCACTATAGTTAATTTAAAAGATTAGTAAAACGTAAAACCGGCACTGACGATCCCGGCTTTGATTTTTGCAGTTTGTCCGTCCAAAGAGAAGCCGATACATCAGGATTTTCAGATYAGATGGCACCGAGGTCTACACTGTTGATGCTTCGATCTCCCATGACGTCATCTACCCGGCAGGCTCACTGGGTCGAACACTTGAGATTAGACCGTCATTGAGATTCATTGAGAAAACCACCTATTACATGCTTCTTGATCCAGGTATGTATTCTTATATATAGGGAATCACGGGCAGCATGTAGTGCTGCTTTTACACTGCTTGCCATAGCCTCCCATCACTGCTGTGTTCATTGCGGGTCCAATCCCTGATCCAGCCCGCATATGCGAGTATAACTGTATGTTGGTTCTCCCCTGTGCTTCAAGGATTTTTCCAGACTTCTGTTTTCTTCCCCTGCTCCTGGCTCTGTCAGTCAGTCAATCAATCAGTCAATCAATTAATCAATCAATTAATCAATCAATCAATCAATCAATCAATCAATCAAAAACTTTATTAAAGTGTCTAAACTTCTAGCGTTCCACAGGTGGCAACACTAATAGGGGACACCTATGATATTCAACTTCTAGATCCCAATTCGATCTTTGGGCGTTTGCCTAGAGTGAACTGAGCTAATTTATGACAATAATCGCAAAAAGGGTAGTTCAACCAAATATGCAACAAACGTAATCGCCTTTTGTTGATTTTCAGGGATTGTTCAAGGAACCAGGTATTGTGGTCCAGAATCTCCGCCAATGAGAGATCCTAATTTCTGGAGGTTTACGATAAGTAAGTAGACAAATCTCTTCTCTTCTCTTCTGTTCTTGTTTAACTCCTTCTCCTAAGCCTGTACACCCCTCGTKGGGCATAGACCATTAAAACATCTGAAAGCCACAGAGCCCTGTTGATTGTTTTTCTTGGTTTTTACAGGGAAGGGTTGCTAGCCCAGTCTCATTCATAAAATCATTGTAAAGCGCCTTTGAACATATCTATATGGAAAAGWGCGCTATATAAATATCATAATCATAGCCCTTCGCCCAACCCTMCTCCTTTTTCATCCGGGCTTGGGACCGGCCATGGCGGAGTTTCTCTTGTTTAACTAGCTTGTTTTAAACCTTTTTTAATGATAAAAATTCTTATTTGGAAGTCTGGTTCTCATGTTAAAAAAAGCTATTTTAAACCATTAAAACTAATTTTTTTAAATAGTTTTTATACACTTAGATGATTGATCTTTTTCTAATAAACCCGTTAAAAATTAAAATTTAATAATATTTAATAACCTTTATTTGTGTGATAGGGGACATTACTCCACCTGTGGTAACCTTTTTATCAACCCCATATGTGACTAACAATTCGACAACAATAACATGGAAGATTAACGAACCTGCTACTACATTGTGTACTGTCAGTACCCCTGACGGGACAACAGTGCAAGCCTGCAATGAATCATGGRTCGGATCTGGACTCAAAGAGGGTTATCATTGGATATCAGTTACTGCTACTGACAKTGGTGAAAACACTGCTCAACCAGTTACACACTACTGGAACGTTGGCAAGTAAAACAGAATGAAACATTTTCCCATGTCATTTCCATCACTATTTCTTTGTTTAACAACTTAGRTATATACCTCTTATTAACCGAGTGCGAGGTCCGTACCGTAMGTTATGGACCGCAAATTGGCGTTCGCGTTAAATCTAACTTGTTTATGTTCTTTGATTTACAGATTTAACTCCGCCAGAGCCATACCTTACCACAAAACCTCAAGCCGTTTCCAAGGAAACATCAAGTACATTCCAATTCAGCTGTCGAAGAGACAGCCCTTGTTATTATGAATGTTYAGTCACTMAAGATGGCGCCAATCCAACGTACTCGACTTGCTATGGATCTGGGTTCGTCGCTCGTAATCTTGCCAATGATGTTGTGTACGTCTTCCGACTTAAGGCACGTGACCGAGTGCGAAATCAGGCCCAAGTTTTGTTGTATAAATGGAGAGTAGGTGAGTGGTTTTCCATTGTTGCATTTTACACCGAAATGTTTTGACACATGTATAAGTACCAGGTGTGCACTTGCCCTTGATAGGATGTCATCGAGTTTTAGCTATAAAAAAATATAAATGGGGTGCATCTCTAGCAATCGTAATGACTCATGACAATCGAACCTTGAAACAGCCTCAAGGTTGACCTATAAGTGAGGACATGGCTAACTCGCTGGATTATACATAGTTGGAATAGTTGGAATTTAGCATTCTGTTTTTTCGAGGGAGGAAAACTGGAGAACCAGGATAAAACCCTGAAACCCAAGAACGCCTATAGAATATGTGACCTTACAATCTTCCTTGTCGAGTTAATACTGCTTTCTCTCCACACAGATCTTCAGCCTCCTCAATTTTCTAGCATTCAATCGTCTTCAATAAACTGTACAAGAAGTGCGATGTCATCAACTGTCAATAAGCCCAACGTAACAGACAACGAGGACCCGATGCCTGCAATGACACACAAAGACACGCCACTACAACATGGGTGTGGTATAGAAAGAGTATGGACTGCCACTGACCGAGCTGGTAACGTTGCTACAGCAAAACAGACCATTACTATACGTAGTTCAGTGGCTCCCGTCATAAATTTGATAGGAAGTATTGTTGTGGCGTGCCCTACGACCAACAAAATTGATGACGATATCAAAAAAACCATTAATGTGTCACATCCATGTGGAATCCCAACCCGACTGTCTTTTACTGACTCGCTGGCTGCACTGTACTGTGGAACAACTATTACGAGAACTTGGAGAGCGAGGGATAATTGTGGACATGACGTAACAGCCGCGCAAAACATTAAAATCCTTGCCTTACAACTACCAAATTATCCCAAAAATGGACAAGTCAACGTCGATCTAAATCAGTATTTCAACTGGCCACAATACCCGGGCGCGGTCAGCTACAGAGTGTACATATGGAAATCTACAACAGCAAAGCCAACAACACCAACAGCTGCAAGAACGTCTAGGTACTTTTACACAACGTCTGGTCAGCTCCCACATGGAACACAGATGCGATGGCAAATAGAATACGTCAGAGGTTCAGGTGAAATCATACCTAGCCCCGTTTGGGGGTTCGTCACGAGGCATTTCCCAGACTTTCGAATCGATAGCATTTCGTTGCCACCGAATGCTTTCTCGGGACAGACCGTAAGTGTTTCGTGGACCGTTGGGAACATCGGAGGAATTGGTAACGCAGCATTTCGTTGGCAAGATACAATATACATTGGCCGAACGACTACTTTCTCGCAGGCTAGGCGGATGTCAACAGTTAGCCAAGRAAGGTTTCTTGCTCCAAATGATGCTTACGTTGGGCGCGCAACACTCCAGTTGAGAGATGATGATATTGGGGTTTTTTACGTGTTCGTTGTTACCGATGCCTGGAATCAGGTAAGTTTATATTGGGTGTTAGGCARTGTTAGTCCTAAGTTTTAGGTGAAGGGATGGTTTGGGTTCTGGATTAGGTATTCCATATCCGGCGGTAAGATTGGCTCCAGTACTGTTTGGGGTTATTGTGTTTACAAGGTTATTGATTTGATGTTATAATGCTCACCTTTTGTGCCATACCTCTCCTTTTCTCATTATGCTATTCAATTATGTTCTTTTCTTATTACTAGTGTCCTCTTCTTCTAAATTGCCTGCTTTCCGTACAAATTTWAAAAAACTGCAATTTCTTGCTTTTAGATTCGAGATATTGATCGTTCAAATAACAGAAAAACGAGTCCTACTTCTGTCAAGGTGTCTCTGACGCCTCCACCTAATCTTGTTGTTACAACTATTGTGCTGCCTACTTCGTCGTTCTCAGGTATTCAAATGATGTTATTTTAAAAAGCAATCTGACAGCTTCACCATATAAGCCAAGCTCAGCCAAAAAGATTGAAGGATCCTCAGAGGGATTGATTCGAGAGTTGTAGTTAAAATAAAAAGATCAATTATTCCACGGGGAATTTCCGCTGCTATTCCAGAAAAGGGGAGGATGGGTGGCGTAGCGGTGAGAGCACTCGCCTCTCTCATCAATGCGACCCGAGTTCGTGCCCCGCCGGGCTCGGTGTTGGTTCTTTCCTGTACTTCGAGGATTTTTTTTGGGATCTCCGGTTTTCCTTCCTCCGCAAAATCATTGGCTATTGAGTGCTACGCTCTCGTAAAAACAAGGAGGTTGTAGAGGATGAGTTGTCCCGTAATGATATTCTATATTAGATTGGTGCGCATTTCTCTCTGTCTGATTGGTTGAGAGCCAGGAAACTGTTTTAGGTGGGCTTAATAAAGAGTCGCAAATTTTCTTCTCATTCGAAATCCGCTCCTATTACAAGGTTCCACGTAGTTGATTCAAATTTAAAAATATATATATTTTTTTGCGACAGGAAAATCCATACTGGTCAAGTGGATTGTAAAAAATCAGGGTGTTGGGATTACCCGTAGTACAAGATGGGTTGATCAGCTGTATTTTTCGAAGGATAACAATCTCGGTAAGTCAACAAAGTGAATTCAAAGCCTGCAGTCTGCAAGGTCTTTTCTAGAACTTTCAATACTTTCAGAAGCCAACTATTTTTTGGTCGCAAGTATATATACACATGACGAAAAGAATGAAAGTAAGATCTACTGAACTCTGTTAGTCTTATAACTACGACTGCTGTATTCCACTGGTAAAAACACTTTATCATTTATTTATTTATTTATTACCCGCCGTACGTAATTTATTTTCAGATAATGACGATAACTACCTTGGTTCCAAAGTACATRATGGTTTTCTATCAGTACATCAGACCTACACAGAAACAATGTCAGTCAATGTACCTCGAGCAATATTTGGGGACTACTTTATCATCGTAAAGACGGATGCTACAGACGTTGTGTTTGAAAATACAGGAGAAAATGATAACATAAAGGCATCCACGGTAAATGGTCGTGTTATTACCAGTGTTTATGATGAAATAGGACGTTTGCATGATGGCTTCATTTGACTCCCACTACCAAGATGCTTCGCGAACTGTCTTTCTTATTTAAATTTGTATTCCCTCATGAGAATAGTAAGACAATTGGTGCTAATTAACTGAACAAAAGAAAGCGTGCAAGGGAGTCTGGTAGTAGAGGTCAATTACGCCATCATGCAAACGTCCTATTCGGATTCTCGCTTTTTGCAGTCGGCAACCCCATTCTTCGTTTCACGTTATGTCATCAGGTGGACTTCTACAAAAGACTTCTCATTAAGTCCTTTTGTACCTGTCCACCACCATGGCCGCCCTTTTGATCCTCTTGGGAATGGTTGAAAACCACCAATTCCGGTAATCTTTACTGCTGTTGACCTTGTGTTTTACTCAATCTTATTAAATATGATCCATCTTCTAATCTCTCCACAGTCATCTTTCAAAGTGTTCTTGTCCCCGCCTCCGGACCTCGTGGTCAGCAGTATAGATGTGCAATCAAAGTTTTCCACAGGAGACACTGCTTCAATTGCTTACCGTGTGACCAACAACGGACYGGGAACACCGTTTCAAACTTGGTGGAGGGATCAAGTAGTAAGAAAAACGTTATTTCTTTCTATCCGTTCAAAAGATGTTTCATAAGGAAACTGGTCTTGCAGTGCGATATGCCTTAGAAACATACCGCTGCATTCCTTGAATATAAATTCTTCTACTCAGGGTTAGCCTCTTTTACTATCGAAATGTTTATAAATACTAACGGTAGAGTACAAATTCACAACTCCAACAATGCAAGCACTTGYACTGGAACCATGAATATTCTAGTCAAAATCATGATCAAATCGGGCTAACCCGAACAACGAAATTCAAAACCGTAGTATTTGCAAAGGTGACCTGCGTGAGATAAAGAAGAAAAATTCCATGAAACAATAGCATCCTTCCTTTTTAAATCGAAATGCAATAGAAAATTATGTTGGCAGTTTTATAACTATCTCCGGCTTCTTGGAATAAGGTTAGAAAACGCATTAATAATTCATGAGGAAAACACAATAGAAATCATGACCATGAAGGTGATTTTATATCTGATAAAGATTCGTCTTCATTTGCATAAACTGTAACTTGGATTTTCTCTGTCAAACTTGGTTCATTTCGTAAAGTATTTAGTACAATATGAGAACATACATCATCAGTTTTCTAAGCCGTTTAATAAACTCGTAGATCGTGTTTTATCGGGTCTAAAACCACTTGGCTACGCCTCGTGTTTTATACCCGATAAAACACTCTTGCTCGTTTATTAAACATTACTTATTGTTTCTTTAGGCGACGCAAATGTTTTATAAGTTGCAATTATTATTCTGAGGCATCATTGCATTGCGAGTTGCGAGAAAAAAATGCTTGGACATCGGTCTTAAATGCTGAAWTTTTTTTTTCTAGTTACTTATAAATCTTCAGACGAAGGAGCGCAGAGTTATTGCATCACCCATATATTCTGGCGTCCTGCCTTCTGGGAGCTCGTACACCAGAAAAGTGAGCTTTGACATTCCTCCCAAGATGAAAACAGGAAACTATACTCTTTCTGTACACATAGACATCTATAATCAAGTTTTCGAGTTCACCTACAGAAACAATAACATCATCAGCACCAACTTTACTATCAGCCAAGCTCTTCCCGATTTGGTTGTACCGAAAGTTACAGGAGTGGTCACCAGTGATCCTATTGCTACTTATGTGCACGTCAGCTTTACAGTCCACAATAACGGAAAGGGAACAACCTACGGAGCACCTTGGTTAGATTTTGTGTACTTATCCCCTTCTAAGTCTTTCTCTTGGAATACTGCAAGAAACCTTGGTGCTGTCACAAGAAAAACMAATTTACTTCCAAATGAAAGCTATGATATGACAGCTACAAAGTTTAGAGTACCAAGAGATGTTTTTGGATTAAGATATGTATTCGTTCTAGTGGATTATTACTCATCCGTTTTGGAACAAAATAATGGAAATAATCAAAACCATAGCGAGGTGGTTATCATTCCTCAGAACTTTCCAGATCTTGCTTTAGAGAAGTTCGATGTGTTGAGCGGCGCATTTGCGTATTCCGGAGACTCCATTAACGTCTCTTGGATCRTTAGGAATAACGGTTCGAGAAGCACTTTGGAGTATTTCTGGACAGATGTTGTTTATTTGTCAAATTCTACCGCGCTTGGGTTTGGGGAGAAAAAGATATATGAAATTTCTGTCCAACCAAGACTACTTCCTGGACAAGTATACAAACACAAGGCAACTGTCTCTATTCCAGAAAATATGTACGGAGACTTCTTTCTGTTAATCAAGATAAATAGCAATGACTTTCTGAACGAAAATGGTTCCATCGCGAACAACAATGCTTCGACACGACTTTCTTTGGAGGAAATGCCACTGCCAAACCTTGAGATGGTTAAGGTGACTTATCAGAACGAATCCTTAGAAAATCTTATACAAGTTAACTGGAAGGTCAAGAACGTTGGGTACTCAATGACGAAAATTAAATTTTGGACCGACCAAATCCTTCTTTCTCCGACAACTTCAAAGTTAACCGGTTCTGGAGTCTACAACTTAGGTTCATTGGATATCAAGGCCAAATTGTACTTTCAGCAAGAATATAGTGCCTCTGCAACGGTTTCCATACCACGAGGTGTTGCTGGAAGACACTATGTCCACGTTATTGCCAATCATCAAGGCAAGCTGCGAGAAAACTCTCGAGATCAAGGGAACAATGGACATTTTATAATTTATATTCCTTCAGAGTCAAGCAACGGAGCCGGATCTGGCGGCCTCAACCCTGTGCATTTGCCCGCGTTAGAGATCAAGTTGCACAACAACGTCCACACAAATGTGACATGCGATGATTCCTTTTTATTTAGTTTCCAGATTTTGAACGAAGGAAAAGGTGATGCAAGTGTTTATTCTTGGACGGATKCTGTTTATCTGTATAGTAAAGCAAATGGTTCGTTACAAGAGATCATCGACTATGGGAAGCCTCTTGCTTCAAGGATTCATACTGGTGGTCTTCGGGTTAATGCTTCGTATACGGTGAACACAATTATAACTATCTCGTGCTTTGGAAGAATGCTTGATGGCTATCTATATGCCTTCTCCGATGTTTACAATCGTACAGGCTGGAACACTCCACCAATAGCCTGTTCCAATAAAATTTACATACAAACAGGCCCCTTGCCGGATCTCCTGGGAATCTTCATCAACTCCTCTCTGCGAACACAGGAAGGAATGCCTCTAAAGGCTTCATTTAATGTGTCCAATTTTGGCGAAGGTTCCACGAAAAGCGGTTGGGCTTATGCTTTGTACTTGAGTGAAGACGTTCTCCAGGATCMATTTGATTTAAAATTGGCTTCAATTGCCACAAACCTTCTCCTAGCACAAAACAGATCTGTGTTGCTGGAGGCAACTATATTTATACCCTACGACATGGTTGGTAGCGACTATTATCTCCTGCTGGAAGTGGACAGTGGTAACCTGGTGTATGAACTCAATGAAGACAACAATGTGGCTTATGTTCTGCTTAAGATACAAAATACAGTAAGAACAGACATACTGGTGTCCTCGGTAACAACTTCACCCATGACACTCAAGTTGGGGTCAGGTAAGCTTTAGCGAAGAAAAAGTACCAATATTTTGTAACGACAGACTTTCTAAGATCATTTCAAGCCACCGGGGCCACTGTATTTAACTTGTCTTTCCCTGGATTATGCATTCCATTTATTTTCTTCGTATCTCAGGATTGCCATTTCAGCTTTTTGCATAAGCACGTTAAGTTCATTTTCTCTTGGTAAACGTATTATCAGTTTTTCTTTTGAATGCACCGTATTTAGATGGGGTTCTATATTTGTTAGGAATGCCTTGATTTAATTCTCACCGAAGATTTTCTCGTTTTATCCAGATATTAAGGTGGATTGGACTCTCAGGAACAATGGTACTCAGATAGCCAAAGGRTACAARTGCGATACAGTTTACCTTTCTSAAGATRAAGTTTGGCAAATAGATGATACAGAGGTTGCACAACCCAAATGTGAATTTACATCGCTGCTRCCATACAATAACGGSGTTAATCGGGACAGGGCGTTTTCCTTACAGAAGCCCTTGCCRCTTGTTGCGCAGGGTCAATAYCGYGGACTAGTAAARAGCCGTAGTAACATACGAGATCCTTTCCCTAACAACAACATCAAGGCGGGACCAAAAAACATCAACGTGACATTTCCATTGTTGAGCCTTGGAAGCTGTGTTGAAGCAGACAATGGAATATCGGTGTTTATTATCAACGACGTACCACCCGAGATGACTTTGATCGTTACAGCACGTGTAAACGTAGTGACATCATTCCAAGACTTATATCTACGACRTAATAAGCCTGCCTCTTCTTATCATTATGATGGAAAATCAAAGTTTGCCATGTCTYCCAAGCAAGATGCGTTGGTAACCCCCACAAAGAAAGGTTCTTATTATGTCATGCTTCAAAGGAACGACCAAACTCCAGCCCCTGGTGTCAAATCAAGAGTCTGTGCAAAACTTGCCAAGTTTGAAATCTTGAACATTTTTCCAACTACTGTTGCTCCACTTGGAAATGTAACGTTACGAGTTGAAGGCACGTTGTTCGGCTGGAAACTGGAGGTGTTTTTGATAAGTAAAGATGAAGAAATAAAAATAAAAGCAAAGCGAGTCTATCGTTTCAGTTCCATGTTGTTGTACGCCACTTTTAACGTACAAGGATTAACTGAAGGCAAAACATTTCGTTGCAAAATTAYAGACACGGCTAAGAATGCGAATGCTGTTTTCAAGGACCCTGTAAATGTTACCAATGGGGTACCTGGAAAACTAACAGTTACCATGAATCGACCCCAAGCCATTAGATTACTCGATACAGGTGATATAACARTCAGTTACCAAAATATTGGGGACACAGATCTTTCGAGTCCTATAATAATGTTTAGTGCAAATGAAAAGTCTTTACTGAGGTATGTACAAGATGGACTACAACCAAGTACTTATGACAAGTCTCTTTTCGTTGTCGCGCAGCCTTTAGAAGGTCCTGGAGGAATATTACCACCAAAGTCTTCMGGAAGATTGAGATTCCAGGCAAAGMACMTTCCAGGTAGCGGAACTGGAAGGTCAAAGCTCAGTGTGCGGTCCTTGCTGGACAACGACGAACCTCATCTGTTTATGGAAAGCAAAGRTGAACTCAAACCAAACCATCTYTCAGATGACCTATGGGAACCTGTTTGGAARAACTTTCTGTCGTCTGTAGGAACGACTCAAAAGTCATTTAATCGTCGATTATCAAGTGTTGCGACACAGATGAGTCTGGATGGAAGGAGATTACACATGGTTGATGAACTGGTTAAGTTTCAATTGGACTTTGCAAATGGTGTCCAAAGTGGTGAGTAACATGTTACAGTGCTTAACGTTTCATTTCCCTTGGAAAGTGTTTGTTGCAAAATGGCAAACCTTCATATATTTATCCATATTAGGCGCGATGCAGCAAAGAGTGCTGGTAATGCTGAATCTTAATGCAAAAGTGACAACTAGCAAGACAGCGTAACTTTAAGAACAAATTCACTAGTGCTAAAATAGAAAACTAATTTGGCGGCGTGAATATCCCATCTGATGTTCCATGCTGGCCTTTCATAGGCCCTTGTGGGCAGTTATTCTCTTTTGTTTATAATTTGTTACTGACCCCATATTATTYTTTCATGATTTTAGGACATGCACTTCTAGATATTATTGATGTAGCGGATCAATCTTCCTCRAGCCTGCTGACTCTTCGTCTGGAACGCATATACAGTCCATTCTTGACACGCCGTCGCGGAAAGGGAATATTCGGAGTTGGATGGATTGCTCCTTGGTGGTAAGGATACCTTTATTTTGTTCTTTGCTGATGTAACGATACTATGTTTTAATTTGGGAAAAGCCTCCGTTATTCCCGAGCAGTTAACTGTCCGAACTGATGTACCATATTTTTAAGGGTCAGAGTGTATAGATAGAATGGGCGGACACCCTCAGTACTTTGCTGTTAACATGACCGCCTTTTATTCTCTACGGGACCGACTACGCTGCATATAAACTCATCAGTTTCCTTATACTACATACGTGTCATATTCTAGCATTTTTGGCTAATACGTAAATGGTTGATGGATTTTAGGTTGTTCCTAGGCAACCATTGTTATTCGCACTCATACAAAGTAAATCATATGACAATGCTTCCACTCTTAACCTACAGTGAAACTTCGGTAAACTTTACGAACAGCTCCGTAATCCAAATCCTTCATATGAGGGACATGATAACATTCCAGCTGGTAAAAACTGGGTTCTTCTTGGCTGATAGAAATCGAAACATCGAAATCAAACATAATGGTAAGGRGAACGTATATGCCTGATATTTGATAAATATATTTGATATATAATCGGAAAAATATTAAAGGAAGCAATAAACCTTCATATGAATCTTTAGATATGATTGTCAACGGCGTCGCGTCCGACGAATCAGAGCAACTCGTCTTTGACTTACAAACCAAGAAGTTAAAAGAAATCCGTCGGGTGAATGCGGAAAATGAGACAATAAACGTGACTTCCTACACAGCAGACAATATGCCAAGTCAACTGGAACATTCAACAGGAGGATCGATTACTATTGACTTTAACTCTCGTGGGCTTGTGAGGAAGGTCGTGCTGATTCAGTCTAATGGAGAACGATTAGTAAGGTACCGTACCATAAAGCAATAGATAATGACTTTCTTGTTTACGATTTCCTGCTATTCTAAACGTTTTTCATGGGTGGGTTGTGGTTTGAAAAACCCGGGGATAGCTAATGAGGGGTGCGACACAAGTTGCAAGAGTTTTACAYGGTACAATGCACACGCAATCGTTGCCAAAAGTTGATACGAATTCTACTGTTTGCAACGATTGCTGCAACTTGTCTCGCAACATATTTGCAAATTGCGATGTAGGTTACACACTGCAGTGGTCCATGCAACTTGTGTTGCAAATGCCGTTGCCAGACAAATTGCAGAGAAAATTGGCACGTGTAAATCGCACCTTCAGTTACATTTCAACGCGCGTAAAAAGAACACTGACAAAGTAAATAGCTCAACTGGACGTGGTTTCAGCGTCATTAGAGGTGATTAAAAATTCTTTGACCCAAATTGAAAAGTCTGCAAAACCGGCGTCACTTCGCTTTGGTACACGCACTTGTAAGCTCACGCCTTTTGTTCAGTCTTTGTGACTTTTCCAATTTAATGCATCCAAATCTATTGTTTTTCGAAGCTTGTACACATACGACCCAGAAGTTCCTCTTCTCTCATCCATAACCTCTGATGAGAAGACGTCGAGTTTTTCATACACCAGCAATCAAGACCTGGAAAGTGTGACATACCCTAACGGCGCAACACTTCGCTACACATACAATCCCGACACTGGCTTTTTAGAGAAAATTGTGGGGTTAACACCCGAGGGGCAAACATCAAAGGCTGTGGAGTTCCAGTACAATTGGGATGGTTTAGTCAAAGTCATCAATTTGGTGGATAACAGCAGTACGACGTTTGCTTTTGATGAGACCATGAATGCGTTGTCAATCACTGGGAACGATGGGATACCCTTTCGTACTCGAACTACGATATCTGGGAGCACTATAGTCAAAAGTCTCATTCATGGAGATCAGGTATGATCAATTCAAATTAATAAGGCATTATTGTAGTTATCATGAAATCGCCTACGTAAAAGTTAAACGGGAATCCTGATACTTTCTGGATCCTGCACTGACAGATTCCGGATTCTTATCTTGGATTCGGGATTTCAGGGCTGCTCGATTCCAGTTATGCTACATCCAGGCTTCAGGTTTCGGKGATGTTTCGGGGATACTGATGGGACAAATTAGTATAAATTTTCTTATACCATTTGCATAATCTTTWAAAGGTTGTCRARCAAGAAACCTTGGATACAGATAAAATGACGTTACAAGTTGAAGATGCCAACGGTGATAAAGTCATATACTTGTTTGAAAATGATGGCATTCCTCAGAACATCACTGATGCCGCAGGGAACGTCTTTAGATTCAGTTACGATAACACCACAAAGCGTCTCTCAGAATCAAGGTTTCCTGATGGGACCAGGGAAATGTTTAGCTATGACACCAATAAGAACATGAAAAGTAAAASAACGAGAAATGGAAAACAAATTCTTTATGAACATGGAGAGAAAGGGAATTTGGTAAGTGCATGGTATCGCTGGCTTTAACCATTCCCAAGAGAAGGAAATAACAATTGATGTGGCGGCCATGTTGGTTGATATAACAAAAGACACGAATTACAAATCATTTGTTAAACTCAACCAACATGGTGCCTATGAAAACTAGCAATATTTAGGTAGCGATACGAAAGAAAATTGCAAATCAAGCTGGTTAATTTTCATTTTTTCACCTTATTCCTAACGTTAGAATTCGAGTTTAGTTATTACTTACACGGACATGGGATCTTTAGTTGAGAAAAGAAAAGAAACTTAACTTTCTTCCCGTCACCAATCAAAAGTGGTTCCTCATGCACAATTATAGCAACTGACTGACCATAGATTTTGGGTTTCGCATGCACTCGCAGTCCATATTGGACACCAGCTAATTTGAAATTGTGATACTTCAGTAAGTTAAGTTTACGCCTCATTGTTATTGGCATAAAGGTGACTAATGTCTTTCAAAATCACCCAATGAAAAGGATGTGTCATAAACTTATCAATCGCTAATTCGTAGTTATCTTTTTCCAGGTCAAAAAGTCCGTCCCCGATGTTGGTCCAACCTACTACTTACAGGATTCACGAGGAAACATCATCATGGCGACAAATAAGGAAGGAACGGTCACGCTGCGTTACAATCGTGACAACAAACCAACAAGCGTTACCTATCCCGATGGGCGTCACCTTGAGTACAGATATAACAAGAATGGTCAAAGAATAGGCTTGTCTGAGAACTCTACAGGCTATAACGTAACCTATCACTATGACAACTACAATTCTCTCTCAGAAGTCCGCACTACTGGACCTGGGAGAACCCAAACGCTTCTTAGAATAGAATATGACGCAGACGGAAAGCTGAAGAAAAGGATTCTCGGAAATAATGGGTATTCGGAATACTTCTATTATCCGGAAACCAAAAGGCTACGTAAACTGTCCAATGTATTACCATTTGGGAATATTTCATCAAGTTTCGAGTACGATTACGATGACAAGGGAAGACCTATAAAAATCACTTCGAAGGACGGGATTCGTTTATTCGCGTATGACGCAGCTTCTCAACTAGTTGGTTGGACAGATGTCATGAAAAATGGCTCCAGATACACACATACATACGAGTATGACAGTCGTGGAAACAGGGTCTTCTCCACCAATGGTGGCCACAGAGAGAACTATGAGAGCAACAATGTCAACCGGTACATGTCAGTCGGGAATAACAAGTTTATTTATGACAAGAACGGTAATATGCTCTCTAAAAAGAACACAAAATCACGTGCCAAGGATGTGAAGTATGTGTTCAGCGAGGAGAATGTGTTGCTACAAACAGAGACAGCGAACGAAAGGTTTGTCATTTTTTCGTTGAATTTATGACCTTTATTGTTCCTTTGCTGAACAAACTCAAGTAGTTCAAGCTGCATTTATTATCATTGCACCTCCAACGTATCCTAGCTAAAATCTATTGTTGTGCGGCCGTTCATTGATGGCTGTCGCGCAAGAATGACCCATGGTTCCCTTCAACCAGTTGCTGTTTTACTGATTTATAAAACCTTTGCTTACTGGTAACTAGAAATGATATTGAGAATATATGAATATTTTTCAGGTGTGACTACGTCTACGATTTACTGGGGAACTTGTACAAAAAGAAGTGTACCAGCGGCGAGACTCGTTATGTTATCGATCCATTTGGTATCTTCGGCAGCAACATGATCGCCCAGGTTAGTGATTCTGAGGTTGAGGAAAAACTGGGTCGAGTTGACATTGCAGTGCATTTTGGGGCTGTTTTAGGGGACATATTTCCAAGATGGCGTCTGTTTTGTCCCCTAAAACAGCCACAAAATGCACTGCAATGTCAACTCAACCCAGTTGTTTCCTCAACCTCGGAATGACTAATTACATGTTGATGTTTTAAAATGTTTGGTTGCGACTGTTTCACTATCATACATACATATCACTACATACCCTACAATGTTATCTTTACATAAATTCAGTCATTCGGTCAATTCATTGTATGGCTCATGCATAATTCAAAATGGGTGGTCTTTATATCTACCAAAACAGCTACTCATTTTGCATTGTATAGACTGTATAATCCTAGTTATTTAGAATCGCCTTGTGATCAGATCAGTGATTAATCAATTACCAATGTAAACTAGATTTCAGGAGGAATATCAGACTTTTTTGTTCACTCGGAGCAAGGAATACTGGCTCGATTAAACTGGCATGGCTCTGCAACTTACTACGAATTTAGCGGAGAAGGGTAAGCAAGCAAAAGCTTTTAAACATTTTCTTTTCCTATCCTTGCGTAACGACGTACTTTCCATCTCAAGATACTGAGCTTCTTAAACATAGTACTCTCGCGTTCCGTTGGCAAAGGAAACGGCCCGCTAGAGAGTTATGCGAGCTAGAGAGCGGAGTTGCTTGCGGAGTAGGATACCAGGGACCGTGAGATGAATTTATCTGTTGTATAGCGGTGATATGTTAGTATTTGACTGGCGTTTGGTGCAAAAGGTCTATCGATAGCAATTACCATCGTTTCCACTGCATGTTTATATCTTTGCAAATAAATGCTAGTCTCGGACACATAAAATATGAGGTCGGGTGAAAGAACGATGTTAGCCCCCTGTATTTAAAACCACACTGTTCCCTATGGTACGCAGTAGAATATTCTGGAGTGTTTCTTTCTATAGCATTTGCCATTTATCTAACAAAGTCGGCATTTCATTTACTTTATATACATTCTTGTTATCATTAGCTCGGTAACTGGGCTTATTGGGCCAAATGGAGAGCACCTCAACTCTTATCAGTACGATCCATTTGGAAAGATCATGTACTCCCATGAAACTGTGTCTAACGATTTCCTATTTGTTGGACAATGGGGCGTGGTAGGAGAGAAGGGCATCCCGTTCCTGTACAGGATGCGAGAAAGATTTTACGATGCAGAGATTGGTAGATTTATGAGCTACGACCCATTAGGTAAGTTGCCCCAACCAATGTTACCAAGACATTATGATGCACAGGCTGGTAGATTCTAGGCTGACATCCATTAGGTAAGTGTCACCAACCAATGTTACCAAGACATTATGATGCACAGGCTGGTAGATTCTAGGCTGACATCCATTAGGTAAGTTGCACCAACCAATGTTACCAAGACATTATGATGCACAGGTTGGTAGATTCTAGGCTGACATCCATTAGGTAAGTTGCACCAACCAATGTTACCAAGACATTATGATGCACAGGTTGGTAGATCTGGTTGGTTGATAGGCTGATATCCATTAATGAGGTAAGCTGTGGCTATCACTACTATCAAGACCAGAATGACGAACAGTTGGATTTATTTCTTAGCTCTCATTTGTAAGGTAATAAAATGTATCCATCAAAGCTATCATTACAGTGTGTGTTGTATGCGTTTTCTACTTCTGCAGGCTACAAAACCCTCGACACCAATCTCTACCAATACGGCAACAACAACCCTATGCTGTTTAAAGATCCCCAAGGACGTTTTGCTGTTTCGTTGTTGGCATCTGGTGGATCTGGAGTTTTTTGGTATGGCTTGGATAAGATATCAAAGGGGGAAAAAATTACTCCTGGAGGTATGCAGATCGAAACAATTACTGGGACATGCATTTTTCTATGCAAACTAATATAAGAATGATGTTATGGATATTGCCCTATTTCACTTTGACGTCAYATCAAAACAATCTGTTATTTAAACGCAAAGGATCATGTTCGTCGGAGGGGGTCAAATCAACGCAAATTCACCGAAAAATGTTCTAAAACCCCTATCAATCCACGAAGAGAAGTAGAATAGCCAGCAAACGCTCAGAATATTTTTTTAGTACATATTAACACATACTTTATCTGAAAACCAGGCCATTTTAGATAAAACTGTTTCGCTAGGAGCAAATTTTGTTGAATTTTCTATTGGATTTTGCGATTCTATTCCCCACATAAACAAGCAGTGACGTCATAGTGAAATAAGCAATTGAAATGGGTGGACTTCTAGTCATACCAACGAATCATGTTATTGTTATTTAAGTACACCTAACCCTAATAATAATAATTAACTTTTCTTTATAGAGGGTAACACTTGACAGTATTTTTTAACTGATAAACTCTTGGTCCTCTTTTAACGCCTCTAGCCTAATTAGGGACGGGACCGCCATTAACGTGATCATCCGAGCCACGTGAAGGTCTAACCATTTGAAGATGTAATTACAAAGGCAGCACCTTCTCCTCAGTTATTTTGAGACCCTGAGTGTGAGCCTATTGATCCTACATAAAGCGAATAGTTGAATGGTGAAATATTTCTTCATTTGAATGTTGCGTCTTTTTAAAAGTTATGAAGGTTTATACTTTCTTTACTTCAGGCGTTTGAGTTTGTTTACTAAACACTAGGCATTATGAGACATCGAATTTATAATAAACATTGTGAAAACCTTGAGTATAATGATGATGTTTTTTTAATTCTCTTTGTATAAACCAGTCAAAATTTGGTACATAATGGTAGTTTCTTTTTTTCATTCACAGGAATTGTGGGATCGTTTGTTTCCGGTGCTATTACTGGTACAGTGAAAACGTTCAACCCATACGCAAATGCAGCAATAGGTAGCGTCTAAATTGAATTTTTGAATCTATATTAAGCTCAATTTACAAGTCAGTCTTCATCCATAATGCTTTATTGCCATCGTTGATTCCTGGTGAAGTATCTAGTGCAAACTAATCATCATCATCGTTACATTATAAATGGTAAAAGGTACTAGAAAAAGGAGGTAGAAATCAATTGTGGACAACTATTTAACAATTATTCGCAGAAGGCGAAGGTAGTATTGGAGAATAATAACCGAAACGAAGTTGAGGTTATTATTCCCGATATTCACTGAGCCTGAGGTGAATAATTGTTTTAGTATAAATACACAGGTGATTCTTTTTTTTTTTTTTTTTTTTCTTCCTTCTTCTAAAAGACACATTTAAAATTAGGTAACAGCAGGTGATTNTTTTTTTTTTTTTTTATTAAAAAAAAGAAGATAAAAGACACATTTAAAATTAGGTAACAGCAGGTGATTATTGTGTGATAATGTGAGTTTCTCGACCAATCAGCGCGCGAGATTTTCAATAATCACCTGCTTATTTATGCTAAAAAAAAATTATTGCCTTGTTTTGAACATCCGTTTCACACATGAAAATTTTGGGCACACCATGATGGACCCCAGATACCTCAGGTAGCCCAAGGTCTGTTTTACTACCTGTAGGGTGTAACTCATTTGCCACTCCACTTGTACTGATAATTATAATTTTAAGGCATGTGGGTTTTTTTCTAATTCCAGGTGGAGTAGCCGCTGGTATCCAGTATAGAATTGAGAACTTCATTGATGGCAAACCCTACAATAATAAGGATTTTCACGTTTCTGTTATTAAAGGAACGATACCTTCTATTGTCAGCAAAATAGGTAACTCAAGAATAAATTCAATCTGCTTATTATTATTATGATTATTATTATCATCATCATTTTGTTTTGTATTCAGTTACTTTCTTTACAGCGTTCTCTTAGATCGCTCATTCGCTGTGATGATCAATACATCTATCATTGTATTTCAGTTATTATCGATCGACTGGTGGACAGATATCGTAAACAAATAGAGGAGGCGAAGAAAAAAATTAAGGAAGCGTGTGAGAAAGTAAAGACGAAGTGGCGAAACACCAAGGAATATATCAATGACATCATAGAATGGATGCGATCGATTGACCCGGTTTGTATCTATAGGTTGCTATCAATAGAAGTCACTACCGGTAATAGCTCTTTTTTATGGCTTGTAGAATCCTGGAGGTTGTTTTGCCAGTATCTTGTTTTCTGGTTTGATGTCGTGAAAATAGTCAAATACAATAGTTTGAGGACTTATTTTGATATGTTTTGACTTAGCATCCTCTAGTTGCCCCCCTGTCAACCGCTTGTTTACCCCCCAGTCAACTCCAAAAAAGTCACGTGATTGATAGTAAGCAATAGACAAAGCAAATAGGCGTCACTTTTTTTATAAAAAAGAAAGTGACACACGAAATTAACAAAACAATGATTCCTCACATTTTCAGAACGACATAATCGGGCCGACAGGGTTCGGAGATTCTCGGTTTATTGCCGAAGATACCTTACTGGACTACATGATACGCTTCGAGAATGATCCAAATGCCACTGCGCCTGCGCAACGAGTTGTTATCACACATAAGTTGGACCAGGATCTCGACCCGAGGACCTTCAGGATTGGTTCGTTTGGTTTTGGTAACTTTACCAAAGAGCAACCTCCCAGTCCTTTTCTACAGGTACGATTGTACCTCAAAAGTAAATTTATTACTGATTAATCGCCATAATAATGTTGTCACCCAGAAACATTTACAATCACGCACACGGTCACGTGACGGGAAATTCACTGAGGGAATCGTGTTAGACACGATTTTCTTGAAATTTCCCAAGATTCACTACATTACTGGAGTGTGACGTAAATACCTTTGAAACTATAGGGAGTGTCTAAAAAGATAGGCGATATAACTTCATGATAGGAGTTCAAAATTGTTCCTAAAACGTTGGTTTTAAACTCGATGTAATGTATGATTATTTACCATAGGAAACACTTGATTTTTCGAACGACAGAAATCTACTAGTGCGAGTTACAGCAGGTATTGACGTGGTTCAGAACGAGGCGACTTGGGACCTACAGAGCCTCGACCCCAGGACAGGTAACGATTCAACTGAATAAACTCAGTGGTTTGACCTGTTTGTGGTCCATATTTGACATTTAGGTCAATTTCAATATAGGTGAGCCACCACGTGACCCTAGGCGTGGATTTCTGCCTCCCAACAACGGGACAACAGGTCAAGGATACGTGACGTTTAGCGTTCGTGTCAAGAGTGGTGTAAAACCGCTGACCAGGATCGATGCTAAAGCAAGCATTGTATTCGACCGCAACGAAGCTATCGACACTCCACCGATATTCAACACGGTAAGGCAATATTCACCTGTAAGGGGCAAGTGAATTCTTTTCATTTGATTAGCTTATCAGTTGCTTTCTGGAGTGGTAGACATTTTGAACGCCACTGATTGCTCTAGGTTCCTATACATCGGGTGACTGTCTTCACCAGCACATCTCTGGGCAGAAAACTAACATGTTTTTCCTTTTTTTTTTTTTTTTTGTTTTGTTTTGTTTTGTTTTGTTTCGTTTTTTCCCCAGATCGATAACTCAGAGCCCAACACTAACCTGACTGTACTACAAGACCTTCTAAAGAAAGGATCCCTGGCAGTGGTTCTAGACAAASAAGACATTGGTACTGGTGTGCAATCGGTGGACATTTACTATCAACAAGTACAAGGTAAAACTGGGAATTGCGTCCTATTAATATCTACAGCCTTCTCTCATAGCGAACCCAGTTCATCTTGGTCCAGCTTGGGTTCCTCTTGCTTGCCATGTCTTCAAATAATGGATGTCATTTGCAGTATCGATCCACTCTGAATTTTTTCAATTAAATGGCATTTTTTCAGTTGGCAGTGTTTCCTAATTATAGACCTCCTCGGCTCTGACGTAATGTCGTCCCATTTTAGACCACGTGTCATTCCCTAGAGTATCATTTCTTTGTTTAAGGTTTGCGCTCGGTTGTACATGAGAAGACACATGAATATGGATACAACTCAAACAAAGAATATCATTCTCAAGGGAATGACACGTGGCCTGAAAAAGGGGCAACATTACGCTCGAGCGCTCCAGAGCCGAGGAGGTCTATTGCTGACGGATTAAAATCACACAGTTTGGACTTCGTAACGAAGCTAAATGGGTCTTATTGCGCCTACTCCTAAACCAATGTCTTTCTTATTTATACTAATACCAGGTGAAGAAATGAGTCGTCTTATGCATCCAAGCTTCAAGCAACTTCTAGATGACGTCACTGAGGATACCGTTATCCTACCATTGGCTCCTGGGAAGTCTTATCGACTAGTTACGTCAACAGTAGATCACGTGGGAAACAAGAGAGGCCTGGAATTTTCGCGGTCAATATTTGTTGATTTTCCAGAAAGGATAGGTGAGTACTTCGTTCCTGGTTTTAGCTGACTTTCCGTATATCTTGGTGCTAGAGAGGAGGGTGTATATAAAGGACCTATCTCTAATATAGTTTCCTGCTAAGCTGATTGAAGAGTGAGTTGGTTGTTCCAAATTCATTTACTGTGCGGGCCACTTGTGACCGACAGTGTCCATCCAAATATTAATAAACTGATGATTAAGACTTGACGACCAATGAGAGAATTTTTTTTCTTTTACTTTTAACACAGGATCCTGTTCACATCTTAACAATTGCTCAGATCACGGCACCTGTTCCATGTTCAGCGTTTGTATCTGTGAGAGACGCTTCTACGGTATGAACTGTTCACAAGGTACGTGCGAACGGATTTCGGAAAAATATACACTGTAATACGTACAACTACTCTATTTCCGGCATTTCAAAGAGTAAAATATTCCTAATCTATTGCCTTTCACGCTTCATATTCCATCTTTTCTTACTAATACTTTTCTTTTTTTTATAGAAAAGCCGYCTCTTGCGCCCCCAGTTCTTGAGGCATGGACCAGCGGTGGTACAGAGGATAAACCTATTCCCATGTATTTGTTCGCTCGTGTTGGTAACGTCACGATTGAAGATCCCATATTATCCCTCAACATAACCATACTTGGTCTGCCGGAGTCATTTATAATTAGCCGAGGCATGCGCAGTGGGGAAACAGTTCTTTTACGCAAAGAAGACTTTGGAAACATGACTTTGACCCCTGCGAAAGACTTTGCAGGGAATTTAACTCTAAATATTTCGGCAGAGCTTAAGACGGAATACGAGGAATCGCTTACAACGACCCTTTTGCCATTCAGTGTCACTGCACGAGCCGATGTGCCAAATCTCATTACCCAAGACGCATGCGCAACTAATATATCCAATACGACGTGGACTATACCGCTGTTCATAAATAGTTCGCTTACTGACATCGATGGCTCAGAAAGTCTGTCGGTCACGTTGTCAGGGTTACCTGATGGTTACGAACTAAACAAAGAACCCGAGAATGGGACGCATGCGCAATACTTAGAACCTGCTTCTCTTACCGGATTGGTCGCTCAGCACGAGGGAATGTTTAAACCGTTTCTTCTAAAAGTCGTGGCAGCTTCTGTAGAGAAATCAAACGGGGACAGCGTGAATGTCACGCGGATGATTAACGTCACAAGATGCATTGTAAAATGTAAGTCTAATGAAAATTCAAAGTGTTTAGTAGATCTTTAGTTATTTTAACTCCTCCCACCAACTTTCACTGGGTTAAAATGCTAATCATAGTTTATTATAGTCAAAGCTGAACAAAAAATGACGTTGTCCCACTACACTTACTAACTCTTCGGCTAATCTGTTCAGAAGCCATTAAAATACTCTCTGACCTCCTCTACGTTATCCTGGGTACCAGAGGCCCGTGAGCAGCTTGGGGAGAAGGGAAGAGGAATGTGAATGTGAGCTGAGATTTGTAGATTTGAGAAGGGAGCAGAGGGGGGAGAGGAGGGGCATAAGAGAGGGATCCTCCTTCGTGATCTTTCATCGTCATATATTTAGCCTGCGTAGTGGCGCTCTAGGAGATTGGGGAAGGTGGAGGGGGAAAGAAAGAGACAGAGAGCCTCCTCCTCTCTCCTTCCCCCTTCCCCAATGTCCTAGAGCGCCACTACGCAGCCATCTTATATTAAGAACGAAGAATTCTCGATACTGGGAAACAATACGTTTTAAATAAATTCAGTGATTTGTTTTTATATTTCCCCCTTCCAGTTACATGTTATGCAGTCAATAACTGCTCTAATCATGGAGTCTGTGTTGCACCAGACGAGTGCAGGTGCGAGACGGGATACGCAGGATCAGATTGCTCTGAAGGTAAATAACATAATCCAGTCCTTGACATATACTGTGTTCTACGAGATTAGAATCGATTGCGCATCGGAAAATCTCCTCGGGCGCGAAATACGCAGAGAAAGAGGGAAGGGATAGCGCGTTCTAACACAACACCAGCGACTTCTCTAATCTTCTCCGACCTACCGCTAAGCTTCAATATGCCTTCCACCCCCTCCCCTCTTAAAAAGTAGCTTTTTAGTCTTGCGCGTGTCTGATAAAGTTTCTTTTCCTGCAGAGTCTGGCGTGACCGAGAAAATGCAAATAGATATGATCATAGGAATTATATTGGGCGGTGTGCTCTTTTTAAATTTGATGGTCCTGGTGATCTGTTGTTTGATCCAATTAAAGAAAGATCAAGCGAAGAACAAAAGTAAGTCAATCAATCATGACAAGTGGCGTCAGGCAGCGTAACTAAGACTCAGTAACATTTTATAAACTATGCTTCTTATGCTTATATTTATGCTTATGTTGAAGTGCAAACCAGCCCTTATGCTTATGTATATGCTTATGTTGAAGTGTGAACATGAATATTATCCTTTTTCTACAGTATCCACCAGGAATACAAGGCGAAATATGCAATCCCAGTACAATAATCCCAGTTTCGCACCACTCTGAATATGAGCAACAGCATAGTTGGTGTAGCAGTACTAGTCCGTAAAAAAATAGCTGAAATAGGTATGTACTGGTGACCATAGCTAATTGAGGGGAATGAATTCTCCTCTATTAGCTATGCGTGAGCCAGGCAAGTGTATAGGGTCCAAAATGCAGGTAGCATTAGAGCTACTGAACTAGAAGGCTTTTAGCGAGACTGAGAACAGAATGGTTTAGAAAACGGTCAGGAACGACTAACCATAAATATCATAAATGTTGAATCACTCTTTTTCAAGGACTCTCGGAATTCGCACATCGGAATTCGGGATACTATTCCGCACTATTTTACCATAAAGCAAGATAAGCGCACTAACTTCCTCTAATCTTCCGATGCTTTGTAGGCTGATCTTAGACAAAAAACAAGAGAGAGGGCGAAAAACGAAGAATCTAATTCTGTTGTCTTGTGTGATTTTCACTTTGCTGCCTTCCATATCTATCCTGCTTGTAGAGGTATCTCTCTGCCCTCCGTTCTGGATTTTGGTGGAGGGAAAAAAACACCTCTGTGTCTGATCGTTCCTTTTGAAGAATATGTAGGTAAATCTCACATGTAAACCGGTTTCCAAACCGGTTGTCCCCGATTATACGTCACATGAGCATGGCGTTTTTGGATGAACACCAGAAATGTAATCCAGCTAGCCTGACTTTTAAGTGATAAGTTATAGTCAAGGGCGCTAGGACAGATGAATTTGGTTTTATACCATTTGTTTCTGTCAGTTATTCGTAGATACTAAATAGAGTTCACTTATATTATTGTAGGGCAGACGAATTTGGTTATATACCATTTGTTTGAGTCAGTTATTCGTA